GAACAGCCTTGGTGGACTGAGGAAAGCAGATACCTCTATAAGAAATGATCATCGGTTGGTGGACCAGAAAGTCAACATCACAACCGATTGCACGTCAGGCTGAGAATATGGCGAGGGAATATTCATCAGTACCTACTTCTGCTTCTCCTCATTCCACACAGCCACTCCACGCGCCTCCGAGACTATGCTGACGTCTGTTACAGTTGCACGGCGATCTCGAACAGCGATTAGGTCAGGTTTGATGAACGACGTAGAAGTAGGGGCTCTCAACTCCTCGAGGACGGTGTACCCCAGTCGACGAGGACGTTTCGCAAGTTCCCTTGCAACCCGATTATGACGAGCACATCTGGTATCATGCGTGATCCAGCAGGATTGCAACATATGCACCAACCTATCCGGTTGGCCACAGTTTCCACAACATAAGATCGTCTGGCCACCATGACCATGCCGAGCGCTTCTAACTCTCGTCCTAAGCAGGTTGCATCGGAGCCGGATACCGCGGATAAATATCCGTGGAAACACTCGTTCTGGGATTACGAGCCATCGATTCGAGAGAGGCGAAAAGACCAACTCTCGTAAACCGCAACCGTGAAAGCTGTTGTGCAGACTATCACTATTTTCGGAAAACTTTACTCCATCTGCTCCTTTGTGTTCCAAGTTTTCAAAAGGTACCAGGTCACTGAGAAGAAAACAAACGCTTGTCAGTGCAGGCAAAGCCAGTCCTTGCCATTTGGCTGGTGAACTTGGAAAAAAACATATTTCTTCACTTTCGAATGGGCAGTCTTTTGCCAGCGATTTTAGCAAAAACGGTCACTGCAGCTCCAAAATTCCACCGGTATGCTTAAATTTCAAAGCAATGTCTTGTTCCCTTATTCATTTATCACATGCATTTCCCTCATCTACTTCGTCGACTTCGAGCAGCGTCCATGTGGAATCCCCAAGTACGGTTTGTAAGTGATTAATTAATATCTAATTAATTAATTAATTAACTCGTTATGACACAGAGTTACCCACAATTTTGCGTGGATTTTTCCTGATGAATGTAATGCGTTTATTCTAACTGAATGGAGGTGCCTTGGTCTCAGCAAAAGCCCGGTATGTTTATGTATATTTAACACTCATCCTTCCCGTTTTCCGGCTTTCATGTCACCCCCAATTTTCTTTTTAAATGAGGTCCAAGAAAGCAAACGGACAGTAGACAACAGTTAGTAATCCAGACCAGGGTCAAGCCAGTTTAAGCGGTGTTTATTCGCTTGTGTCAACAGATTCTGCCGTGTGCCGGCGAGCATGATCGGCCAGCTATACAATCAACAGCTGGAACATGAGTCAGAATGTAAGCAATCGGAATGGTTAAACAGCGGTTGGTGTACAACACACAGTCTAGTGTTCGTAGCCAAACTGTATTCGCTTTGTCTGTTGACATCATGCTCCGACCAATTCGAACTTTTTGCAACAGTGTATCGTCAGTAGCTTCCAAACTTTTGATTAACTCAATAATTTCAGGTGACACAAGTTTTCAGAAAACATGGATTATTGCTACATGCAATCCAAGGTGTGCTTTCTCACCTTTTCAGCTGTCCAGTCGGTGTGCTCGTCAAAACCACCACATGTATCGATTTAGTATTCCCCTCATGAATACTAGCCAGTCGCGATCGCGGGCTCCCAAGCCTTCGTGCGAGATGACGAGTTATGACTTTGGAAATCCAATCCGGGGGCTAAAATTGTGTTTGTTACTTTACTTGTCTGAATAAATTGCCTTCTATTTAAGATCATTTGGTTTTCGCAACCTACAGCAGGTGTTTCTTCGACCTGACTTCCACGGCTGCCCACGGTGAGTTGCCATGTATTTTTTGGATCGTGTTTTACTTCGTGTGCCCGCGGCAACCTCATTTCCAGGAGTGCGTACCAACATGTTGCGGGTAACAGAAAAGTTTCCTTCTGAATAAGTCGTGAGTCCAGATAAGAAGTGCACGCCCTTGACCCGGATACACATGGTGCAAAACCCTGAACTTGCGAACTACTCTAGTTGGAATCGCTTGCTATGTGGGTGACTTGTGAACAATACCGCATGGTCGAACCCTTCTGGTGAGGTCGAGTGCAGTTGTCACGCAACTAAAAATGAACCCATCTAGGAGAAAATGACAAAAGGTTGTATACAAAACCAGTTAGCCCATTGCCCATAATAGTAGAATAGACCAAACACTTTGGAATTTGGGATCACAGTCGCAGTCACTGACGTTATCTATTAGCATGGATGCTTTAGTCTCCGGTGCAAGCGTTTTTTCCCGGCGCCGAGCGGTTTCATGAAAAACTACCTGGGCTCCAAACAAATCGTCTGTGGCGTCCAGCGGTTTGACCACCGTGACCGGCGGCATGTTCCAGTCACCGGGTTCACTTCACTACTTAACTCTTCTGCTTAGTTTACAGGAGACTTTTTAGTCAAGAAAAGCGTGTTATACTGTAACGATACATCTAACTATTTCCAACCCCGTCCACTTCATCACAGAATCAACAACAATGAGTGTCAAAAGGACTGACGTCTGTATTGAGCCAGCTTCAGAAAATTTCTGTTCTTTGAAAAAACAAGCACTAGAAAGGGCTTTCATCTTCAAATGTCTTTCAAATTCCCGTAATAAGTATACTGCTTGTTTCATGAAAACTTCTTTGCACAGAAAATATTTGAGGTAACAAAGAATCCAACCAGTGGGGATTACGTCTTAGAAGTTTGATAGTTTCAGAAAATCGAAAGCTGAAGTCCTAGCCCTCAGCCAAATCTAAGGCCGTGAAAATATTGATCCGAAATTGATCACCCAGTTTGTCTAAGCGGGTTGGTCCGGTCAGTTTCCGACAAAGGTTTGCCACAAATTGTTCCAGCATCACGCGCAGGTTATTCAGGATTTCGCAGTTAGGATCAGTGAAATGAAGACCTCTCGTACCTGGTTCAACAAAACGTCAGTCACTCTTGCGCCTGGCTTCACGTAATACTTGTGTTTTGATATACAAACCATACTTTTTACGTCAGTGAATTGCAAAAACAAATTTGTTTAACTGCTAACGCAACTGGACATATCGTCTTCTAGTGAAGTCTACACAAGGGCATTGGTAAAACTCTTCATATCAGGAACCCATATTACCTGTAAATCGAACCGTTGATTGCACCTTGTCAGCCCTGAAACCCAACTAAGGCTAAATTCTTGGGCATTGCTCGAAGCTGCGGACTGATATAGCGGCACCGAAGCAAGTCCTTTCACTCTTGGATTTCCACACATGAAATTTCCAAAGACGTGAAACCCTGTTTATCGAAGACATCGTGAGGGCACTCATTATTTGCCGGCCGACCTGGGACAGAAACTTGGGGCCTAGCGCGCCGTCATCCGGACCGTGATTTTTTGCTCACCACTTTTGGCTTTCCACACCAATTTTATGCACAGCACATTGCGCTCCTGATGTTGTCATCACTGATATTTCAGATCTCGAATGGGGCCTAGCGCGCCGTCATCCGGACCGTCCACTACCATAGACGCAGAGAAGCAGGAAGAAATGATACATCTGGTGCCGATGAGCACACGATATGGGTGCTGTCTGCTGCAGAACACATGGCTAGTCAACCCAGTCGTGCCGCGCCGCCATCAGATTGTGGGTAAGTTGATGTAATTACAGAGTCGGAAGTTGCTCGCACTATTCGGTAGACAGGCAGTACACCTACAAATATGTACAAACTTACGACCAGGATGTTCCTACAACCCAGTGCTAATACCCTTGTTGTTGTTGCTGTCCACGGGTTCTCTCTACACACTAGTGTAGTGTTCAGTTTCCTTTATCCTGAAGGTCCCAAATACAACTTTACTGAATCACCTGAGACCGATTTCCGTGTGATTTATTCCTGTTCGATGCTTGCATAAAGTGCATGCTGATAGCTGGAGTCGTGGGTTGTAATAACCCACATCCTAGTTTGCACTTTTACTTGAATATGTTTTCTTGGAAGCAACCTTGCCGTTACAAGACTTGCTTCATCCCTCTTCAGCCACTGCTTCTAATTTTAGTTCACCATTTTTTAGTATCTCGAAGGATTCTGATTTGTTCTCATCCTACAGAGACTTTTGGAGCACAATCTCCCTAAGTCTGATACATCGCGTGGCTGATGGCATGGCATGCGAGTAGTATGTTTTCTCGTAAATCCGCTTCGTATCTCTTGAAAAGTGAGATCTACTACGGAATTTGTGGAGTCGCCTTGTAGCCTTGTTGCCTCGTGGCAATCAGACAATAATTCATCCTGGAAAATG